TAAAATTATTTTCTAGTCTCTTAACAAGCTAGATTTTTTTTGTAACTCCCCTCTATGATATTTATGTGTGCTTGGAAATACACATGCATTGCAGCTATTGTACTCACAGATTTTTTTCATTGGCTCCCCAGCTGGAACTGACATGAGCTTATATGCACATTATCTAAATCCTCACTTTCTTCTCACTCAGTGCCTTCCACTTCCTACTTTACTCCATGCTGCCCTCCAGGAAAACAGAAGCATTTGCTTGTCCCCTGAGAATTTATTTGAAGACAGAGATTCCCATTAATGCAGAATAGATATAAGGAAAGATATATGGTATTGTTTTTGATTAAGGTTCCTTGCCTGATTAGTACCAGGCCAGTCAGTCTATAACCCAGTCTATAACCCTCTTGATTTTTTTTTTTTTGTGCTTATTTTTGGTTGTGGGCAATTGGGGTAAAGTTCATTTGACTTTTTGGGGAATGTAGCCATGCAGCTTTTTTCACCATATTCTGTGATACTTTTTCAAGAGAACTTCAACCCTACAAAATAAATGACATCTGTGAAGGCTGCTACCACTAGCATCCAAGCAACTCACAACAATGCAGGGCCATCTTCCCCAGGGTGGGAGACAGTGCCATTGACCATGATAATGTCATGCATTACTATAAGTGAAAGGTTGTTCCACCTCCCCCTTGGGCTTATACTTGGTTCTATTTTAGGGAGAAAAGAAAGCTTATTTGGAGAAAGAATGGGAAAGGACTTCTTGAAGCTATGTAGGACAGAAGAATTGAAGGTCTCAGGGGTTCTGCATTGTGAGATTTATTATATACCTACAGCTGTCCTATGATGTGGTGGCAATAGGGGTGATTGTTATACATGTTTCTAGTGCCATGGGAATATAGATATCATTTGTCTTTAGACAGATACAAAGGCAATCAGTTGTGCAGCCACCAGGAATGTAAGCATTGAAGGAGAAAAATGAATCCTTACATGGAATGTTACAGATTCCCACACCCTGTCAGATGGAGCTCAGTTGGTCAGAATATTTTGTAAGATATCTACTTCTTTATTTCCACGTACCATTGGAGGTCAGCTCATCTCTTTCATTGGCCTTGACTGGAGCTTACTCTCAATTTTCTTTTTTCTGAGTCATGTCACAAGTGCAGAAGGTGACTGACTCAGAAATTCATAATTTTGTAGGTTTAGAGTTAGTAGTGACTTTAAAGTCTTCTAGTTCTATCCCCAAATCCCAGAATTTGAGAATTGAAAGGACTCTTAGTATCTATCTAGTCCAATCCATCCTTGAAAGGTATCTCCAATATCACATACCTGTTGAGGGTAAACCAACCACCTCTCTAAGCATCCCATGGCCTCATTTTACAGATGAGGAAACTGAGGCCTAGGGAGGTAAGAGAATTGCCTAAACTTATTCAGTACTTGGAAGAATTAGAATTCAAATCCAGGTCCTCTGATTTCAAATTTAGCACCTGCCCTCTACCTCATCCTTCTAACTATGAGAGGAGAAAGCTTCCATTCCTCCACAACATGCTAATATTTAACACTCACAGCACAAAAGACATTCTGGCTTCCAAGCTTCTGGCACCTTTTCAATTCTTCCTAAGCATTGGATGGTTTACCTCAAAATATTACTGTAATGAAATTGAGCTGGGTCCAAAGATGTAAAGTCAGCACAAATTATGAGAGCCTATGGCTTGCTGCATTCTCACAGTTAGGAACATTGACTGAAGTCTCCACTCCCTCCCCCTCGACTTTGGCCTACTCTTCACTGGGGACCATCAGCTCAGGCTCACCCACCAGCCCTGCTGTGTGACAGGGCCCGGCCTTGATGCTGTCGATTCCAGTTACCTCCCTCCCACTGTCTGGTGTGGTAAGCTCTCCTCAGACTGGCTGATCATTTGTTTACTGTGCTCAAGTTGGGATTCCTGGCCAACTGGCAGCTCTTGGTGGGGGAAAAGAACCACAGTTTCTTAAGTGCATTAAATCTTCATGTTAGCCCCCCTAGCTTGGTAACCCTTCATGGGGGCTTTGTTCTCTTTTTTCCAAGCATGACAAACAAGTGGTTTTTCTTTTTTCACTTTAATGGTCCTGCAACAAAAAGGAGCCGGCCCAGGCTTTCTGAGGAAGCTGATAGGTGTTCCTGTTTAATGAGCTTTTTATTATACTGTATTGGCTCCTCTGAAAAGAAATTACTAGCAGCAAACAGCTGATAATGGAGCGAGCCCGGGAGAAACAATAACCGAGAGGGGGAAACATTAGTGTAGCAGCAGATGCGGGCAGCTTAGGTTGGGGACTGGATCCCACCCCAGGCTGCCCTGGTCCCCCCCCCCCATTATGTGCGCCATAAAGTGAGCGTGTGCGCGCGCCCCTGGGGTGGAAGGAGGGGGACAGCAAGAGATGGAACTAGAGATTCAGCCACGCTGCCATCTGCGAAGGGAGAAGGGCCCTGGGTTCAGTCTAGACAAAGATGAGCGCAGCTCTGAGTAGGGGGTTTTACAAGGGGTTGGTCGGTTACCATGGAAACTAATTGGAGCTAATAAGCAAAGGGACATTTTAACTGTGGGAACTGAATAGAAGCGGCTATTTTTCAATATCCCCGTTACCCACCATCAATCTTTCATTTTCGGAGTGCCCTTACTTAATTCTGATGATGTTGTACCCTTCCGCTCTGTTGGGAGTTCACACACACACACACACACACACACACACACACACACAGTCTGACACCCTCCTCCCTACCGCACCCCCACCCCCACCCCCACTGCCCACTGCCCACCCCGCACCATGTAAGACTGTAAACTCGCGAGCGTCATCTTGGAGGAGGCATTCGATTTTAGGTGCAGTTCTTTCAACACAGCATCCATTTCAACCTTTTTTTTTTCTTAAAAAATAAACTGTTTGCAGATGGCCAGGAGAAAGGAGGGGAGGTAATGGAAAATTCTTAACTTTGAGACTGACACTTCGACGGAGAAAGAGAACTGGCTCCAGGCTGAAGAAAGAGGCTGGGAAGTGATCCTGCAGCACCAGCTTCAGGTTTTTGTCTGGCCTTTCTTTCCCTTACTCGAACGCTTCAGAGCTGAAAGAAAAAAGTTCAGTACAGGAAACAATCTGTGGATTTAGTGAGCTAAGTTAGGGTTCCTCAGATTTAAATTGGAATTTTAAATCTAAAAACATCATTGAAGTTTTTTCAAAGAAAAACATTTTAAAGAATGCCCTATGATGCCTTGTGCCCAAGTCTTTCCGCAAAGAACACACTTTGTCAATTGTTAGTAACACAATTATGAGAAATAACATGTTGATTCTGCATTTTTCACAGTTCCTTGAAATCAATTTTTGCAATTCCACATCAAGACTGAAGATCCGAACCACCTTACCAGTGTCTCCTGGGTGTTTCAGACTTGCAAAGTTAGAACTATCCAGGGTCTTTCCAATAGTGGCAATATTTGCCACTATTAAAATCTTAAAATATCCAAGGGAAACTAGTTTCGTCCCAATCTTGCCACTTGCCATTGTTGGAAAATATTGCTGTGTTTGATTGTTTTTCTGGATTTAGTAGATTAGGGAGTAGTGCTATAGTGAACACACGACATTGTCTGAAACAGACACCATATAATCACTTCTGGGAAGAATTTGAACAAACGTAATCAGGACTCTAACTCCCCCCACCCCCACAGTACTATGATTTAGCTATGGGAACCAACTGGACACAAATTATAGCTTTCTCATTCTAGGTTTCAGAATATAGTAGTAATAGTCATTTTAAAATGTACTGCAACAGCATATATAAGTTACGAAAAATAAACAAGTCAGTCTTCTTTAGACAGCAAAACAATCCCCCTTTTCTGTCAGTGCTCCCTGCATGAAATAGATGTCTACACTGACAAATCCCTCCCCCCCATCCCATTTAGCACTTTGGGCAAGTTTATGACAATTCTCTGCCTTCCCACTCCCACTTCCAAGAATTCAAAAGGTGTCAAGATGTAAAACATCAGTGCTACAAACATAGTCAAGGAGGTTGAGAACAATGAAAATTGCTCTCTATTTTCCCTGTAGTAGTAACCAAAAACCTTGGAAAGCTGTGAAATCAGAAAAGGGGAGATTTTCTGCAATTAACTTGTTAGCAGATCTCTTTTTAAAGTACTAGAAGAAGTAGAGCCATATATGGCTCTGGCTGCCATCAAGACAATTAGGTCTTAAAACTCACAGCTCACAGAGCTACAAAAATGAATGCAAGAAGGAGGGGCATAGAAATGATCAAAAATTGAAAACATTTCAAAGAGAAATTGTTAATGAGCTGTTTGAACTGTATGGGCATTATAAGTGCAATTAGCTGGAAGCCAATAAAAATAATCAATCACAGAGTGAGCCCAGCACTCTTGGAGCAAAAGCTTTTTACAAAGAGATGTCTGTGAAAGAAGCAAATGATAAAAAGCAGCCTTTATCTCCAAGGGTGGAAAAGATACTATTTTGCATGTGTAGAAATGAAAATGATGTTCATTTACTATTTGGAAAACACAGTCTGTGCTTAACAGTACAGACCTGTATGTAGGAAGAGAGATTTGTACTTTTAGCACCCCTGCCCCCCCCACGCCACCCCCTTTCCTCTCAGGAATGTTGGAGGCAGTCCCAGTTTAATCAGAGAAAGGTCGGGGTTTGGATTTCAAAATACAGATGTCACATTTCAGTGCAAATGACTCCTACATTAGCTTTATCAGTGTGTCCAGATGAATCTTTTATCTCCGACAGAGAAAAGTGCCTCACTGAGGAGATTGCCCCAAATAGACCAGCAATAAAAGACTGTTAGGGGTTTTCTCTTGCTTCTGTGCATCCTACTCTGGGACCCAGTGGTCCCTCGGGAATATAAGGAGTTGTGAAAAGTAACACAACTGGTCACCAGAATAATTCACTCCCTCTACCTTCTCTTTAGCACCTCCCACTTCTACTCTTTTTATAGCCCTCCTTTCTCTCTCCAAATCTCAGGTTACTTTGCTGAGAGTTCTCAGACCTATAGTTTCTGTCCTAGTCTCAGCCTCCAATCCTTAAGAGACACTCAGCCCCAGCAATTGGATTGGGCAGCCTTTCTTGACACACCACTGTGCTGAGTGCTTGAGGACGTGTTTCAACAGATGGTTGGGGTTAGTGTGTGTCATCACATTCGAGTGGGGATTAAGAGAAGGAAGACTGCCTTGCTGGAGCTGTGTGGTCTTCTCCAAGTGTGAGTTGCAAGCAATAGAACTCTAGCTTTTGGAAGAAGGCGAGGAATTCATTTCCAGCAGCTCCAAGAAAAGCAGTTTGTTCAGGTAAAGTAAAAGACTACGGATGCCTTTTCCCCCCTAGCATAGTTTTGAATGGAATGCTAGCGCAGCACACTTGTCAAGCCAGTTGCTACGGTCTTATCAATGCTGCTATTGTATGGCTGACAGATAACAGCGAATGGAGCTGGAAGCGTGGCTGTCTTTAGAGTGCTAACACTCCTAATGCCATGCTTCGGAAGGTGTAGGGTGGAAAATGTGTTTGGGAGCAGTGCTTTAGCCACTCAGTGTTCCCTTTCGAGGACCCCAAGGGGGCTAACCACCGCAGAGAAAAGTGTAGGGACATGTATCCTCTCTTTGCAAAAGGAGGACTCAGATCACTTTTAAAGTTGTACTTGCAACATTGTGTATGAAGATTCTAGTAACACTCCACCACGGAACTCCTGGCAGGGATGGAGATGCTTTCTGGGCTGATTTATGCAGTGGGGATTCTGTCTGACTCATCACGGAACAAACCATAATGTTTTTAAAGTAATTTGGAGGTGACTGTAAAGTGTGAGGACTCCTTTTGAGAGAGCGCGGGCTGGGCTTCAGACTGGGGGGTGGGGGGGTGGATAGATAGACTGGCATAAAAACTACATTTTTAGAATTCAAAGAGAACCAGGAAAGGAGGAAGTAGCAAAATACGATTGAACCGAGCCCTCCCTCGCAGCTGCAGAGAAGCAGATGGATGTAATTCATTTGCAGATCTGTTTGTGAAAGTTTTACAAGTCATTGAAAACTAAAGTAGCATCACAGTAATGGGTCATTAAAGTCACTACATTTATTGGTTTTAAACGGGCTATGTGAAGTGTTAATTAAATGGAAATAGATTTTCCGGCTTTGGTTCTTAGGAAAGGATCTTAATTATCATTTTCCCATTGCAAATACCTGGTCAGTCCTGGAGTAAGCTGTTTAGTTTGTTATCTTCATTTATGCTGCCCAAAGCAAATATATACACATATATGGAATTGAATAAATGCAAAACTTCACAAACTTGTTATTTTCTATACTTTGTAATATGGTTTCCTCAAAGAATTGCTTTCTCTAAACAGGTACTGAGTTTTTTTTTAATTAAAATAACTTACAAGGAATGAGAGTTCTTAATTTTCTTTTACAACTCTTTAATTGTCTCTTGAACATACATCAATTCTCATTTATACCTATGGTGTTCATGAATTATTGGTCTTACTGGACTCTCTTACACTTGCAAGAGAAATCTAACACTATCTTCACCCCCCTTGCAGGTGAGAGATTCTATAAATAATACTGTATATAATCCATTCTGAAATAAGAGCTGTTTGGTAGGTTGAATAACAGGATTTATGGCTGGTTCTTTGTGATTTTGGCATTAGACCTTATAAAGGTACCTATAAAACTATGTTTCAAGATCCACCTCTATTTCAGCCCTTGACCAAGTTATTTTTTCTTTTAAAAAAATAGGAAAAAAAAAAGTAATGTGGTGCTTAGCTGGCTCTTTTAGAAATAGTTCTCAGCTCATATTCTGTAATCTTCTTTGGTGAGAAAATATTCTTATAAATGGTCATGTAGTTATTTTTAATAGAATATTAGACAACTCTTAATAACATTACATAACCAAAATGAGACTAAAGTTCATAAGCTAAACTCTTTTGGAATTCTAGTTATTCCATTTTGGCTTTATACTGAAACTGGAGCTTTCAAAATAAAAATAAAAATAAAAAATGTTGCACAAATTCTCTCCTACTGTCTTAGTTTTTAAAATACAATGAGTTGGGTTAGTACTGAACAGGAATTATCATTATTATTATTATTATTATTATTATTATTATTATGAGCATGGCATTATTTTAGAGCAGCAACAATATTGCAGGAAAAAAGTGAAATTCCTCAAGGCCCATCAGTTCTTCCTTGTAGATAACATCTGATCATATTCAAATCTAGAAAAGGTGCAGTCAGAGAAGTTTGAGCTGAAAAGTATACAAAGCTAAAGGCCCTCTGCTCATCAGAAGACAGCCTTTTTAATAGCACTTTGCAATATGTACAGATTAGGCAACGACTATACCTTTGAATAGGAAACATGGTACCAGAATTGGGGTAAGGGTAGGACTAAAATAATCATAAGAAGCTTAAGGAAGAGAGAGGAAATGTACAGAAACATTAATTCACACCTTGAAAAGGCAGGTTGTTGTCAGTTTGTTTGTTTTACTTTTTTTTTTCTGGGATGGCCTTATCTGTACTAATTAGAAAAGACTGTCTCTTCAATGTAAAAATGGGGCCGGTTCCAAAAACAATACCCGTAGGGTAATCCAGCTTTTGGTCAAAGAATAAATCTACTCTACCAGATGGTAAACATTCAGAGACTTATTTATGGTGACTTCTACATACCTCAATTTGACATTTGGTTTCTTCCTGACAGCACTTGTGCTGACAACACACATGAAGTTCCCATCAGCATCTTAACAGCTGTAAAAGTGTTCATGCTAGAAGGATGTCCCTCTTAGCCAAGGTATCAACAATTTGATGGGAACTATATGGGTCCATACCATTGGTATATCCTGATACATACTGCTAACTCAATGCCTAAATCAAGGTGAGGTATTCTGGAGGTAGAAATAGCAATAACTGATGTTAACATGCTGCTTTAAAATTTGAAGGGCAAAAAAAAGCACTTTGTATTCATTATCTCATGAGCCTCACAATAACCCTGTGAGATAAGTTACTACAGGAATGACCATCCTTCTTTTGCAAATAAGGAAAATGAGGCTCAGAGATGTTAAATGACTTCCTCTGGTCACATAGCTAGTATCAGAGATGGGATTTGAATCCAGGTAGTTTTGAATCCCATAGGATCCACTATAGTCTGCTGCCTGCTCAGCAATTTGAAACTTTGAGAAAACTTTCCAAAAGCTATAGTGCATTGTCTATGGTGAATTCAAATTTTGTTTGAAGAATATGGTAAATCATTCTAGGCTATCTCTAAGCTATTGATCATGTGTTATGGAGTTCATGAGGAGTTTTGTGTAGGGACTGCTCAGGAGAGAGCAGAAGGTTTCTTCCCTTGTTACCTCTGTGGAGACATGTGACTTTGAAAGATACTTGCTCATATCCACTTTCAGTAAAATAGTATAAACAATATCATACAAATTTGTCAAATCCACAAAACGAGATTGATATGAGTGGGGACTGAGGAGGAGGTAGGATTCCTTGATTTAATTATGTGCCAGTTTGTGGCTTGACAGGGGATTAGTCTTTTTGCAATTTCATATTGGAGGTAGGAAAGTTATTTTAATAACCTATAATGTAAAACTTCTGTTCCTAATATCTATGTTGTTGGCTTTACTCAAAGGAAGTTCCATGCAGAAGATGCAAACAGTATTGTAGGATTTAATGATTCTTATTAAATGTTACATAAATTACTTTGTTCAAGTATGAGATGAATTATTATAGACTTAAGTAGTAGAGTTAGAAGTTGCATTTACTAGTCTTGATATGAAATGAGTTCTTTATCCATATTCTAAAACAGCATTCACTTTTTAAAGATATCAATTGGAAAAAATGTCTTCAAAGCCAATTATATAGGAATTCTGTATATTCTATATTCTTAGGGTCATTGATTTAAATTTGGAAAGGATCTCACAAGTCATCCAGTCCTACACTCTCATTTTATAGATTTGAAAAACTAAAGCCCAGAGAGATTATGCGACTTGACACATATGATCATTTCTAAGAAGGTATTTTGGAGAAAAGATTCTATTCACAGTTTCTGCTTATGTTGTACTTAGAAGACTTTCAGACAAATTTCCATTATTTATGGCAAATTATCTTCTTTCTTACTTCCCATATCCCAGCAATTGACAAGCCTATTGACCTTTCTTTTTGTTGTTGCTCACTTTTATCGCTCCCTTTTCTATTCCTACTATCATGCCTTCCCAACCATTTTACATGGAGTCTTCATCCCTTAATTCATAAATTATTTTGATAGTCTACTACTACTAAGTCTTTCAGCCTTCACTTTTTTCTTTCCAAACCATCCTGCAAACAGATGCCAAAATAATCTTCAAAAAATTCCACTTTTATTATATTATTCACTAGCTCAGAAACTCTCTATTACCTACAAAGTGAGGTCCAAACTTCTTAGCCTGACCCTCAAGGCCTTCCACAATCTAACAACAAATCTCTCCTTTGAAACTCTATCTCTAACTCAGGGGTCTTTTGCTCCAGACAGACTGGTTTACTCAATGCCTTGCCTCCAAGAGTCTTGTTGATGCAGTCCCCCACCCCCCACTCCTGTCACATTTGCTCTTTCCCTTTTCTCTTCTTTTGTAAACACTAACACCTAGGTCCAATCTGACTTTCACCATGAAACCTTCCCTAACTCTTCCATGGCCTTAATTGTGCTCTGATCTCCTAGCATTTTCTATCTGCACACGATCATAAACTCCTCTCCTCATTTGTTTAGTGTTATTGCAATGTCTGTGTGTGTGTGTGTGTGTGTGTGTGTGTGTGTGTGTGTGTGTGGGACTCTCTTGTCCCTTAAACTAGATTATAAACTCCTTGAGGACCGACACTGGCCTAGCATGATCCTATACTTATATAAAGTACTTAACAGCCACTTGTTGAGTGATTTACTTAATTTTAAAACTTTTCTTCTTCAATTACCTAATATAAGGTCATTTCACTTGAGCTCATTAGCATCTCTCTCTGAATAAGAAGAGAGAAAAAAGGCAAAACTCATCCATTTTACTTTTTTGACATCTTTGGTAATAGGTTTGTTGGTAAGAATTTTAAATTATTACCTAAAATGAGGTTTGGGGATGCTCTCTTTAAAACTCATCTATCTTTGTCATCCCCTCTTCCCACAGACAATTAGAAATGACATGTCCTTCTCCCCACAGGAGTCAGATTTCAAAGCATCAGTGGGCATTGTAAAACACCAAAATGAATGAAAGCATTTACCCAATTAATATCAATCATAGATTCCAACATTTCTGTGCACCTTTCATTCCTCCCTTGCCCAACCTGCCTCA